TGAATGAACTTTTAGCTTTTGATACTTTCTTTAGCTCAACAATTGTGGATCTGATTCTTCATTGATTCCTAACTTATTTTAGCTGTGATAATGAGAATCAAGTAATGTTCTTGGTATATATAGTGCGTGCCATTTTTGAAAGTTTTTTTTGTGTGCTCATGGCATTGATTGGTGGCTATGGTGGATGCTCTAGTCATTGGACTTTTTTCGATTTTGATCGAAAAAAGGACATATTGATACTGGTTTGTTCATCTTGTTTGATATAATATCAACTAAATGAATGAAACTAGGTAGTTACAGTTCTGGATCATTGTACTTGTTATCTTTTTTACTTTGTAGGTGTACTACTTTAGTATTAGAAAACACAGGAAGAACAATGTGGATATAAATGAGATGCATTTATCCCATTTGTTTATTTTGTCTTCTCAGTTTTCAAGCTTTGACTTAGTTTTAGATATGTTCTTAAGAGTATATAGTCCTTCTAGTTCGAGATTCATCTTCTTGCTTGCAACACTTTTGACAAATATACCCGTTCCTCGAGTAGGCCATATTTGAATTTATACATTCCTCAACTTTAAGTGCTTGTTGCATGCTGATTAGAGATTGTTCTCTCCATCTCTGTTTATTCAAAAGTAGAACTAGAATTAGAATCTGTGAACTCGGTTAGGCTAGTTTGTTTTACTGTTATTGTATTTGACATCTACTTTGCAAAATCTTATCTTATTTCAACCTTATTCTTAAGAATCAACCCACGATATAACCATTCGGATCAAATGGGTATTTTGGTATTTTTGTCTAACATTATTTGTTTTTTAATCGTTTTATTCGTTTTCTGTATAGGTATAAAGAAAACGAATTATGTTGGTTATACTGTCTCAAACCTTTTTTTCTCTTGGGTCGTCAAGGCTTTCAAAACCCATTAGTACAATTTGGGCTAAATATTGGTATGAAGATACGTGAATGAGAAGGAAACTCACTTTTAAAAGATAATTAAAGAGCTGTCTCATAGTAACCCTAGTCCTAACCCTAAGAAGATTATCGTCGGCAGTTGATAAATTAAGATGGCGGACGAGGTTGGAGACAGAGACAACGCCACCGTCGCGGTCAGAAACCAACGCCACCGTCGCGGTGTTGACTTAATCAGCTCTCTGCCTGACGAGATCCTCCAACATATCCTTTCCTTTACTTTGATGAAAGAAACCATCAGAACTTCCGTCTTGTCCAAACGATGGAGGCATGTATGGTCCGATGCACCTTCTCTCTTCACCGATTGGTATTATAGAGGGAATACTGATTTGATAAACGAAATCCTAGCTCGCTACACTGCTCCCAAGATGACGAATTTCCTGCTCAGTACCGCTATGGTTGAACTTCCTTACCTTGACACATGGATCGAGTTCGCCATGTCTCGAAAAGTGGAGAAGATGTGGCTGGAATTTTATATTGATAACAACGATGACTACAATTTTCCTGATTTCTTCTTTATCAATTCTTTTGTCAAGGACCTCCATATTTATATAAAAGGTAATATATTGACGATTCCAAGTTGCTTAGTGTCTTGGACATCTCTGAAGAAGCTGTCAATATATCGTTGCAAGCTCTCTCACAAATGCATTGCTAAGATTCTAACTGGCTGTCCGGTTCTCGAAAGTTTAGAATTGGGATCGTGTAGGAAACTGATTGCTCTTGATCTCAGCAAATCGCCGAGTCTGAAAACATTAAAAATAGATCACATGAACTGTCGGTTTGTTACGGGGCCGACGCAGATTACTGCACCACATATCCATTGTCTAAGATTGAAAAACATTCAGTTAACATGTACTTTAGTTGATGTCTCGTCTTTAATCGAAGCTAGACTAGAAGTTCAGTTTTGTTCACTTGAAGAATTACAGGATGATTCTCTTCAAGTCATGGCTCTAAAGATGTTAGAGAAGTTGCAGAATGTAGAGAAGCTTACTTTTGGGGCAAACTTTCTTAGGGTATGTTTTTTATCTTCTATATTAGAAGAAGTACCTGTTGATATTGATCATTGATCAAATATTCTTTTCTTTTTTTTTTATAGATTTTATCTGTTGCTGAGCTTCGTCGTGTTCCTGTTCCGATGTTCAAGGTC